CTCCAAATGAAATAATATTACACACAAATCTAAAATTTTTCATCATTTTTCCACCACAACTTCTCCTATCAATCACTATTCCAAAATTTTTCAACCCATTAAAATGGGTGTCAAACACTCCCTAAATTTCTATATAGTTAAGCTAATAATTAATTTTAATCACACGTTTAATGGGACTCCCAACTTTCAACTATATATTTCATCAAATTTAATTTTTATCTAAACCAAACAGGGACTAAATTATAAGAGAGAGGACTTCTTTTTATCTTTGTAAACAATGGAGGAGTTCAAATAATGGCTATTAATTTCGAGTTTACAAGATAATTAACCGTACAACTCAAAATTTAGATTAATAAAGAAAATGAGAAGTGCTACAAGTACATAGGGGGCACCATGTGTCCATTATGAACACCATTATGGTGCCCCCTATGTACAAGAAAAATAACCCAAAGAAAATTATTGTTGAAAGTAACCAAGTTCAAGACATCATAAATCTATCTTATCCTTATCGGAGGACAGAGATACAGTTCAAATGGCATCTGACCACACACGACTACTATAGAACATTTTCAAATCTTTGGATTACATACCAAAAAAGATCTTCTAAATTTCACTTTCATTTATCACGAATTCTCTATCGCTCTTGCATAATTTTTCAAGACCATTCGTGCCAATTGAAATCAATATCATGTACATAGATTTTGAGCACAACACAGAGATATATTCGAAGTGGCAAGATTGTGAAAATCTTGCGATGTACCTTACATTATTATTACGTGTTACAACACGGGACCATAAAGTAATGTTTGACACTGCCGTGTTCAGTGCTATTCCGTCCACTTTACCATGAGACCATATGCTGTGCTAGTGATTGCTTGAGAAGTGGCTCAATCCCATGGCTGAGTACTCATGGAAGCAAATCTCACCAGCTCCGGTGGCAAGAATGGGACAGCGCCACCTTCTCCTCCCGTGCCGAGAAAATCTCTGAACCCTGAATGCAAGTTTGCAGAACCCTGTTGGTTTTCTGTTGTACCACTTCTTCGCATAGATTGATCCAGACCGTTAATTGCAATAGTATTTGTTGAAGATACGAAATTCGCCGATGAATTCTCCTGTTTGAAAACCTGGTGCAATTCACTTTTGTTTAAGGGATTGTTGAAGAATGTTGGAGTACTTTTAGTTGATCCCATTTGAGCTGCCTTTTGCAGAAGTGCAGTTGCAGACATTGATGCAGAAGCTGAAGAGTTTGAGTGAAGATTTTTATTATCAGAGTGTAAAGAGGAAAGGGATTCAGCTGCCTCCATTTTTGTCCCTTTGCTAATTACTGCCTCCTCTTTTGGGCCTTTTTGTGGACATAAAGAGAGATTTGCAGAGGTTGCTGTTCTTTCCAGCCATGAAAATTGATTAGACGAGTCGAAAACATTGTTATCCGATGCCATTTGCATCATATTAGGCATGAAAAGAGAATTTGTATCAACTGGATTGAGTTGAGAATTCACTTGATCCAACCAAAGAGATAATCTTGGTTTCTGCTGATCAGAATTTCCGGCTGGGGCCATACCGTTATAATCCGATCTAAGACCAGCCCCAAGAAGGGGAATTCCAGAAAACCCATGAGCCAAATTCTGTAGAGGGTTCATCATATCTCCATTCAATTCATTCCTGAAGTTCAAAGTATTGGCTCCAATTGATCTTGCACTCTCTTCAGCTAAGGCATCACAGAAAGCTCTGTGTGTAATAAAACTATCTTTCCTGTATTAGTGAACAAATAATTATTTCTTGGAACAAATATTCCCAAACAAGAAGCATAAGTACAGTTGAATTAAATTAAATACCTGGGAAAAAGTCTTCCACAGTCACATTTATATTCCCTAGTCCCACAAGTCTTAGAATGAGCTTTCCAGTCAGATTGAACAGCATATTTCTTTGAACATTTCTCACATTTCCACTTCTTCTCTCCATGTTTTCTGCTGAAGTGCTTCTTGACGCCGGTGAGGTCCCCAAGAGCTCGGGATGGGTCGTGGTGAACGCAGGTCTTTTCCGGGCATGTGTAGACCTTCCTTTTGATCTGATCTTTGTTAGCCCTTTGCTTAAGTTTCCATGGAAGATTGTGGCCTCTTCTGTGGAGCTGCAAATTTTGTTCCCTTTGGAAACCTTTGTTACAGATTTCACAGATGAATCTGTTTGTGGCCATGAGCGTTTTTGGTGAAAGAGAAATAACTTCTGCATCTGGATCTGTTAAAAATTAACCAAAACAAAGTTCATATTCATCAGACAATTGAACTATTGAAATTTACATGACCGTGTGGCTAAGTAGACGTGGCTCTTACATTGAGAGTGAATCACAATAAATCTAAGGGCCTTTTCATTTGGTTTCTAATATGCGTGAGTCGGAATTAGGACTTAATCTATAACATGACATACACAAAACTTCATAATTACCTGGTGTTCCCCGTAGATTTCTTCTCTTCTTGGAAGTAGAGTTTTCACTTAATTTAGGGTTAGGGTTTAGTTCTTGATGGAAGACTTTGGAAGAAGAAGGAAGTGAAAACACATCATCAGACCTCATTTTTAATAAGAAACTGAAGCTTAAGGGAGATTGCTAGAATACAAAAGAAACAAAGGGTTTCTCCAAATACAAACAGATAAATTTTTGGTATTATTCAAATCTTAGAACTATCAGATTGTGCCAAAAGAACAAGAAAACACAAAACTTTGAATCTCAAAGCACCCAAAAATCGATAATCTTAAACTTTGGTTTCTTCTTACAGAGATCTGTTAGAAGACTTTCGCTTGATTTTCGAAAGAAAAAAACCAAAAACCCATGAAAGCTAAAGAGAATACTATCTCTCTATTTCTAACCACCAACCCTTTTCTCTCTCTTTTGCAACCTTTCTATTTCATTATCTCTTCATTTCAAAGTCGGTCAGCCACAGATTTTAGCAGCTGGGTCACACACACTCTCTCTAATATTCTTATTTGTACGTATACGTTGGCTGTATGCTGCTTGTAATTAACAGAATGTAGAACTCTGTGTCATTTTGTAGTTTTACGACATAAACCTAGCTATGGATTTTTTTAAACAATAATGTTACATATACACTTTTCTTTACACCTTGCTTTATCGAATTTACACTTGGCACAACCTCACACCACGTTTCACACTTCATACATTTAATCCAACTATCATCCACGTGCCACATCATTCATCAGTAAAGCAAGTAGTAAACGAGGTGGTACACATGGCTTAACTAATTTTTAAACAGATAAGTAATAGGCCTCGTCAAATGACATTGTCTTAAAACTTAGGTAGTATAGAGGGAATTTGGTTCAATTAAAAAATTGATTAAAATCTAAATTAAAACTCTTTTTTTTTTCAAATTCATTTTCAACTATAAATATTCCTAATAGAATAATTTTAAACTTAAACTCAAAAACTGTTCTTATTTTTTAACCACGTATTTTCAAAAAATACTTCATAAAATCTAGTTTTAAAAAATCTCTACCAAACCAGAGTTAACGATAGTAACGGAGTTACACATGTATAGAGTGAAAAATCTTAATTTGAGATTCCGTATTTCAAATTGATTCATCTTGATTTTTAAATAGGCCTAATTTGAGAGGTAGAAATGTCAAATAAAGGATGGCTATAAGTTTTAACTTTTCAAAAATGTGGGGTTGTATTCTTGATATTTTATTAGAAAATTAGTGTTCGTTTGAGGTAGATTTTTAACAAATAAAATGGATAGACATTGATGAATTCTATTAGATAATTGATTAAAAGTGAATAAGAATTGTGGATAAATAAAATGTGTGATTAAAATTAAAATTTGGTCAATTTGATCTGCTTTTTAGCAAAAATTAACTTTACTAGACAAACAATAATTATTTAGTATAATTGGTGCTACAATATCGATCTATATAATATTATATGATAAATTCAATAAAAAAACAAAACTGCTACAATATCGATCTATATAATATTATATGATAAATTCAATAAAAAAACAAAACTAAGTGACCCATTTATTTGTACATCATATTTAGTAACATTTAGCCTCCATTTGGTGCACATTTTTGGAAGAAAAATGCATTTTTACTATTGATGTGATAAGAAGTATGTGGTTGAAAAAGAAGGAAAAGTTATTAATGTGATGAAAAATATTATTTTATTCAACAATGTGTGGTTAAAAATGAGTAGAAGAATGAGAATGAAAAAAATAATGTGACTCAAACGGTGCCTTAATGTCATCTAGATTGATAGGACGAAGCTATTTGTACACCCCAATGTGTCCACCTTTTTTGACATCCTGTATGTGTCAAAAATTTAGCCATTGTTTGAAAAATATTTTTAAAATCAATGTATAAAAATATGTCAA